ACACAAAAGTGGCTCCTGTGAGCTTTAAGTCAAATTAAGTCAACAAAAACAGAACTGGAATTGTGTTTTGTTTCATTTACACATATTTGAGTAACTCGGTCTTGTCTCGGTCTTGAAGACGCTTGGACTCAGTCTGTCTGACTTGCTCGGTCACTGTTGACTCAGTCTCGGTCTTTCTCGGTCTTTCTGGTGCTTGAGGCTGATCGGTCTTCGCTTGAAGAGCGGATTCGGTCTTTCCGGTCTTGGAAAGTCTCGGATTGTCTGTTCTTCGGTCTTGAAGGTGTCTTGATCGGTCTTTGTCTTGGACTGGACTTGCTCTGGACTGTCTTGGGACTTTGACTGATTGTGGTGCTTGTTACTTGTCTTGGACTTGTCTCGGTCTTGTCTTGGACTTGTCTCGGTCTTGAAAGTGCTCGGATTCTGTCTGTCTGATCTTGTCTCGGTCTTGAAGGCGCTTGGACTCGATCTTTTCTCGGACTCGAAGTCTGACACTAGAAGAAAGTCACATGTCATTACAGCGATCGGCTCCAGTGTGTTTATATTTATAATCCACTAATAAGAAGGTTTAGTCGGTTTAGTCTGGTTAGTCCTGGTTCAGTCCTGGGTTTCAGTCCTGGTTAGTCCTGGTTTAGTCCTGGTTTCAGTTTAGACCTGGTTTAAGTCCTGGTTCAGTCCCTGGTTTCAGTCCTGGTTTAGTCCTGGTTTCAGTCCAGGTTTAGTCCTGGTTTAGTCCTGGTTTAGACCTGGTTTAGTCCAGGTTTAGTCCTGGTTTAGTCCTAGTTTGACGTGGTTTAGTTCTAGTGTAGACCTGGTTCTCCACTGTGTTTTTAAACTCCACACACCTTCACTAGAAACATCTGGATCATTACTAAACACTTGAAAACCACCACTTGATGACATCACAAGGTGGAACAGAGCGTTTTGAGCAGGCGGGAATGAAACCGAACACAACTCCAGGCGTGTTTGGGAGGAGGTGACATCTAGTCACTGACATGACTTACAGCTCGCAGGAGTCCGTTTAGGCTGATCCGGCTCATTTAAAAAGCTCTAAAACACTCACTTTTGCCTAATCTGTGTCCTTTAAGGAAGTAAAAGACTCCGGGTGGATTTATGACACTGAAGATACGTGCGGCCGGGGAAAATGCACGTTTTCAAAGTCACGGACAGAATCTGAAGTGAAATTGGACGGGGTAAAGTCACAACCTCGATAAATGAGGAAGGAAATGGGCCCCTGTAATTTATTCGACTAATAATGTGAGAGAGAAGAGCAGAGACTTCGGGCTGAGGATGACATTTACATACGACTCTGACTCACTCCGGGCGCCGTCCACCGACAACGCCGCTGTCGTCAAGGTCCACTGCGGAACTTTCCTGCGAGGGGTCCGTCACCCGCTCGTCGCCGCGGATACGTCGTCCGCGGTGCGACGTTCAACAGATCCACTTTACGTTTGTTCAGTTACAGCTCGAAAATATCTAGAAAAACAAACGGAAACGTTCGTGGCACAGGACTAAACCAGGACTAACCAGGACTAACCAGAAACTAGGACAGGACTGAACCAGGACTGGACCAGGACTAAACCAGGACTAAACCAGGACTAGGAAACCAGGACTGAACCAGGACTAAACCAGGACTGACTAAACCAGGACTAAACCAGGACTAAACCAGGACTGAACCAGGACTAACCAGGACTAAACCAGGACTAAACCAGGACTGGAACCAAACCAGGACTGAACCAGGACTGAACCAGGACTAAACCAGGACTGGACCAGGACTGAACCAGGACTAAACCAGGACTAAACCAGGACTGAACCAGGACTGAACCAGGACTGAACCAGGACTAAACAGGACTAAACCAGGACTGAACCAGGACTAAAACCAGGAACTAACCAGGACTAAACCAGGACTAAACCAGGAAACCAGGACTAAACCAGGACTAAACCAGGACTAAACCAGGACTAAACCAGGACTGAACCAGGACTGAACCAGGACTAAACCAGGACTAAACCAGGACTAAACCAGGACTAAACCAGGACTAAAAGGACTAAACAGGACTAAACCAGGACTGAAACCAGGACTGAAACCAGGACTAAACCAGGACTAAACCAGGACTAAACCAGGACTGAACCAGGACTGAACCAGGACTAACCAGGAACCAGGACTAAACAGGACTAAACCAGGACTAAACCAGGACTGAACCAGGACTGAACAACAGGACTGAACCAGGACTACAGAAACAGGACTGAACCAGGACTGACCAGGACTGAACCAGGACTGGACCAGGACTAAACCAGGACTAAACCAGGACTAAACTAGGACTAAACCAGGACTGAACCAGGACTGGACCAGGACTGGACCAGGACTGGACCAGGACTGGACTAGGACTGAACCAGGACTGGACCAGGACTGAACCAGGACTGAACCAGGACATCGACATGGACATGAGTTTAATGCCACAGTGAGTTAGACCTGGTTTAGACCTGGTTTAGACTTGGTTTAGACCTGGTTTTTGGTTTAGAGTTTAGTTTAGACCTGGTTTAGACCTGGTTTAGACCTGGTTTAGACCTGGTTTAGACTTGGTTTAGACTTGGTTTAGACCTGGTTTAGACTTGGTTTAGACTTGGTTTAGACCTGGTTTAGACTTGGTTTAGACTTGGTTTAGACCTGGTTTAGACTTGGTTTAGACTTGGTTTAGACCTGGTTTAGACTGGTTTAGACCTGGTTTAGACCTGGTTTAGACCTTGGTTTAGACTTGGTTTAGACCTGGTTTAGACCTGGTTTAGACTGGTTTAGACTTGGTTTAGACTTGGTTTAGACTGGTTTAGACCTGGTTTAGACCTGGTTTAGACCTTGGTTTTTGGTTTAGACCTGGTTTAGACTTGGTTTAGACTGGTTTAGTCCTGGTTTAGACCTGGTTTAGTCCTGGTTTAGTCCTGGTTTAGACCTGGTTTTGGTTTAGACTTGGTTTAGTTTAGACCTGGTTTAGACCTGGTTTAGACCTGGTTTAGTCCTTGTTTAGACCTGGTTTAGTCCTGGTTTAGACCTGGTTTCGCTGACCAGATGAGTTTAATGCCACACTGAGGGACATTCCAGCCAAACCAGTTGCCCCGGGGCAGACTGACAGAGACATGGCCGCTATCCTCCAGCTCCTTCCCACAGGCGTCTTGCCCAATGACACAACAACAGAATCCAAAGAAAACGACAGGAAACACAGAGTCAAACCTGCAGCGACTCTTGAAGTTGTTTCCCTTTAATATTGATCCAGTCTTTTTTCCTGTATCTTGTATTTGGCTGCGCCGCTGTCGCTTCATTTATGTTTCATAATCCAAAGCTTCAGTGGATTTGATCTGATGTTGACGGAAACTGTCCCGTTTTTACCGACTTTTGAACACGTCCAAATCTGCAGCAGGTGAAAAGGGACGAGATCACGGTTTTATTTGATCTGATGTTCTGATGATTCAAAAGAAAACACAACTCCAGGTCTGTTTTTGACGACTTTATAACACGACTTAAAGCTACAAGAGTCAGTTTTGAGTCATTTTGGACTTTTAAATCCTCGACTGTTCAAATATTTGATGAATTTAGAGTAAATTTAAACCACGTTTTGTCCTTTTTTAGGTTAGTCCTGGTTTGGAACTAGTGTAACAACTGTATAGTCCTGGTTAAGACCTAGTTTAGACCTGGTTTAGACCTGGTTTAGACCTAGTTTAGACCTGGTTTAGTCCTTGTTTAGTCCTTGTTTAGACATTATTTAGACCTAGTTTAGGCCTAGTTAAGACTTGGGTTTGTCCTGGTTTTCCTCTGGTTTATTCTTAGTTTAGACCTGGTTTAATCCTTGTTTTGTCCAGGTTTAGCTCTAGTTTAGACCTCATTTAGAGCCCTAGTTTAGGCCTGGTTTAGTCCTGGTTTAGTCCTGGTTTAGTTTAGCCTGGTTTAGTCCTGGTTTAGATTATTTAGTTTAGACCTGGTTTAGACTTGGTTTAGTCCTGGTTTTAGACCTTAGTTTAGACTCCTGGTTTAGTCCTGGTTTAGACCTGGTTTAGACCTGGTTTAGTACCTAGTTTAGACCTGGTTTAGTCTTGGTTTAATCCTGGTTTAGTCCTGGTTTAGACCTGGTTTAGACCTGGTTTAACTAAAAGCTCACAAGAGTCTATTTTGTGTAATAAAAGTCTTTGAATGTGTTTTAATTTCGGAAAAGTTCTCAAAACCGTCGCATAGAACAAGACTCTGAAACCCTTGAACAGTCAAAGTAGTTTTTGGACCACGGGGACCTCGGTGTGTCCTTTACTCGTCTCTCAGGCCGGTCCAGACCGGTCCAGACTGGTCCTAGACTGGTCCAGACCGGTCCAGACCGGTCCAGACCGGTCCAGTGCCGGTGCAGGTCCCCGTCGCTGCTGCAGTGAAACAGAGTCGGGCCGAGCTGTAAAGTCGACTGGAAGTTTGAAGTTTTCATGAGTCGGTTGGAACTCGGAGCGAACAAAATGTGTGTATTTGTACTTTGGGTGTTTCTCCTGAACACAGCTTCAGTTCAGGTCTGAGTGCGTCTGATCTCAGAGAGACACCGGCTCCTTCTCCTCATCACGTTTAGCCCAGTTTTCACGTTTAGACCGTTTAGACCAGTTTAGACCAGTTTACCTGGTTTAGACCTTTAGCACCTAGGTTTCACTCACCTGGTTTAGTTCTAGTTTAGACCTGGTTTAGTTCTAGTCTAGACCTGTTTTAGTTCTAGTTTAGTCCTGGTTTGGTCCTGGTTTAGACCCGATTAATCCTAGTTTAGACCTGGTTTATGTTTGTGTCAAGAACGGGATTTGAACCACCAACTTTCAGATCAGTGGACAAACACTCGACCCACTGAGCCGCTGTCGCACAACGTTTTCTAAAACTACGTGTCATTTATCGGAGAGACATTTGTGCACAGTCGAGTTGAAGTTTGAAGGAAGAAAAATAGAATTTACAAAGTCATTTAAGGAGTAGATGATGTAAACTCTGGTCGTTGTTCCAGGCTCCTCGGGTCCTGACCCTCTCTCCTCTGGCGGTGGAAGGTCCCGGAGCCGCGGCGTCGCTCTCCAGGTCCGTCCTCCACGTCGAAGACCCCGACAACGCGGCCGACGTCCTGGTGATGGTCCTGGAACCTCCCCAGCACGGCCGCCTGACCCGCCTCCACGCCGACCGCGCCCTCAACCGCTTCAAACTGGACGAACTGTGGCGGCGGCAGGTCCAGTACCTGCACGACGGGTCCGACTCCGCCCACGACAGTGCGGTTCTGCAGATCAACGACGGCCACAACTACAAGAACGTGCTGCTCAGGATCGATATTCACCAGAAGGTCAGGGTTTTATTATTATTTTTTTGCATACACAGTCGTGGACAAAATAGTTGGTGAACCTCTGGCAATGAAAGAAAAATCAACAATGGTCGTAACTTGAAACTGACAAAAGCAATAATAAATAAAAATTATCTGAAAATTGCCCAACAAAAATCAAACGTTGCTTTTCACCTGCGGTTAAACAGAATTATTAGAAAAAATGTAATAATGAAACTGACCGGGACAAAAATGATGGTACTCTTAACTTTATATTTTGTTGCACAAACGATTTCTGTAACTGTCAGTGACCTCAGATCTTCTTCGAATCTCTACTTTACAAGGTGCTCAAACTGAGTGGACAAGTACAAGTATTTAAGTCTTTGGATTGACAGCTCACTTTCGTTCGCATTTCACTTACAGCAATTAAATCAAAAACTGATGGTGAAATTAGGCTTCTTTTTTAGGATTAGGCTCGGTCTTTCATTTGAGGCTTGGAAGAGGCTTGTAGAAGTCACATTTATGTCGCTGCTGGACTGTGGTGATGTGGTTTATATGAATGTTTCTGCTCAGAGTCTGTGACTCTGGACACAGTCTGAAGTTTCTCACTGGTCTCAGAGTTCACACACCTCTGTGTTCTGTCTGCACATGTGGACTTCCCGAGCCACACGGAGGCTCAGATATTTATATCTGATGGTCTATAAATGTTTTCTTGGTCCCGTCTTACCTGCAAAAGTATGTAGTTCAGAAAAGTTCTGGGGCCTACAGCCTGCGATCGCACGATTTGCTTTTGTTGTCAGTTCCCAGAGTGAAGTCTGAGTTTGGCAAAGCTTTTCAGTTTCAGCATGGAACTTTTTACAAAATGATTAGAAGTTAAAGGAGCTGGTCTCCTTAGAATCTTTTAAACAGATTTTAAAAAACAAAGATCTGGACTCCTCAGGGTGTAATTGTTTTAATGATCTTTGAATTGTGTTGATTGTTCTGTTTTACTGAATGTTTTATATGTATATTTTTATGTTTTGAACCTGTAGTTTTGTGGCCTCTTGGTCAGGACGCTCTTGAAAAAGAGATTTTTAATCTCAATTACACTTTTTCCTGGTTAAATAAAGGTTAAAAAAAACAAAACAAAAAAACGTTTCGTTCCAAAACACCTTGACAGTTTTGAGATTCCGTTGTACCAGATAAAGCAAAACCAAGCCTCCTCCGTGCTTCACAGTGGGGACAGTGTTCTTTTCTTGGTCTGCTTCATTTTTGCATCTGTGAACATAGAGCTGATGTGTCTTGCCAAAGAGCTCCAGTTTTGTCTCATCTGTCCAAAGAACATTCTCCATAGTTAAGCCCTGATTTAGCCCTAGTTAAAACCTGGTTTAGTTTAAAAGTTTCCTGGTTTAGTCCTGGTTTAGTGCTGGTTTAGCCCTGGTTTAGCTGTAGATTAGTCCTAATTTAGTCCTAGTTTAGACCTGGTTTAGCCCTAATTCAGACCAAGGAGACAACGACATCATTAATCAAAAGTCTGTTTGGTCAAATATCGGTCGTTTAATCCTGAACCAAACCAGGCCTGAGCAGATTTCAGGTTTTTCTCACCGAGCTTCTCCTCCTCGGCTCTTTCCAGCGAGCGGCGACTGTACGACTGTGATTTGTGTTTTGCTGGTGCAGTATTGATTTGCAGGAGGCTGGAGAAGAGTCGAGGGTCTCTGAGCTCAACCTCCAAACAAAAAACAAAAAACAAAAAAAAAAAACAAACCAAGAGTGTATTTTTGTATTTTACCCACAGCGCTTTTCATTGACAAAAACTCTCCCACAGTAAGTCGCTCTGGACGATGATTCACTCACCAGTTTTGCTCCGTAGTTTGAACAAAGAGCTGCTCTGCTGAATATTTGAATCTATTTCTGGTGGATTTTTCAGTCCAGGGTTTTTATTTGGCAAATTAAATTAAATTAGACAAGAAACATGTCGACTCATACAAAAGTTTAATGTTTTACTAATACAACAGTTTAACATTTATGGATATTTTCAACAGCGAATAAAAACTAATTCTCTAACTACAACTACAACTACTACTACTACTACTACTACTACTACTACTACTACTACTACTACTACTACTACTACTACTACTACTACTACTACTACTACTACTACTACTACTACTACTACTACTACTACTACTACTACTACTACTACTACTACTACTACTACTACTACTACTACTACTACTACTACTACTACTGTACTACTACTACTACTACTACTACTACTACTACTACTACTACTACTACTACTACTACTACTACTACTACTACTACTACTACTACTACTACTACTACTACTACTACTACTACTACTACTACTACTACTACTACTACTACTACTACTACTACTACTACTACTACTACTACTACTACTACTACTACTACTACTACTACTACTACTACTACTACTACTACTACTACTACTACTACTACTACTACTACTACTACTACTACTACTACTACTACTACTACTACTACTACTACTACTACTACTACTACTACTACTACTACTACTACTACTACTACTACTACTACTACTACTACTACTACTACTACTACTACTACTACTACTACTACTACTACTACTACTACTACTACTACTGACTACTACTACTACTACTACTACTACTACTACTACTACTACTACTACTACTACTGCTACTACTACTACTACTACTACTACTACTACTACTACTACTACTACTACTACTACTACTACTACTACTACTACTACTACTACTACTACTACTACTACTACTACTACTACTACTACTGCTACTACTACTACTACTACTACTACTACTACTACTACTACTACTACTACTACTACTACTACTACTACTACTACTACTACTACTACTACTACTACTACTACTACTACTACTACTACTACTACTACTACTACTACTACTACTACTACTACTACTACTACTACTACTACTACTACTACTACTACTACTACTACTACTACTACTACTACTACTACTACTACTACTACTACTACACTACTACTACTACTACTACTACTACTACTACTACTACTACTACTACTACTACTACTACTACTACTACTACTACTACTACTACTACTACTATTACTATTACTACTACTACTACTACAACTAGTACTACTACTACTACTACTACTACTACTACTACTACTACTACTACTACTACTACTACTACTACTACTACTACTACTACTACTACTACTACTACTACTACTACTACATCTACATCTACAACTACTACTACAACTACAACAACAACATCTACAACTACTACAACTACTACAACAACTACTACTACTGCTACTTCGTCTAGAATGTTCCACAGTGTGGCATTAAACCTTTCTGTCTTCGTGGAGACCAAACCAGACCAGGTCACGGGTCAGATCTGTGGAGAATGTCTGTCTTTTTTTCTCAGTATTTTTCAAGTTCTAAACCCACCTGTAATCGAATAAACGTCAAGTCGAGCTGTTTAATGTCACACTGTGGAACATTCCGGACAGAGCAACGACGTATCCGTAGAAACGAGCAGGACCAGGATAGTTCTTCTTCAGCTCCGAGAGTCGCCACGACGATGATGATGTCGGTGACTGTGACCCGGCCTCGTCCTTCTCACTCGTCTAAAACGGCCGGCGACGTTAATTGACGTTTCCGTGGCAACCGCTCTCCTCAATTTCTGTTCGCTTTTGGCGCTGGACTCTGCTCAAACGCGTGGAAGATTAGTTCGGGGAATTCGGGCAGTTGTTTTTCTCTCAACAAGTTCCGAGTTGGGAATATTCTCCGAAACATAAACCGTGTAAACATGTTTGTAAGTGGGACTTTCTTTTCTCGTTAACTTTAAACTTTAACACAGTCGATGTTTTTGGAGTCTTGATTTATTTATTTTTTATTTTTTGATTGATTAGTGTCCTCAAGTTTAGGTCAAATTTTTATGTGAGTGGAGGAGAGTACTACAGGACTACAGTACTACAGTACTACAGTACTACAGTACTACAGTACTACAGTACTACAGTACTACAGGACTACAGTACTACAGTACTACAGGACTACAGTACTACAGTACTACAGTATTACAGGACTACACACAGAGAGCGAAACCAACAGTTTGAAAAGACCAGAGCTAAACTACTACTACTACTACTACTACTACTACTACTACTACTACTACTACTACTACTACTACTACTACTACTACTACTACTGCTACTACTACTACTACTACTGCTACTACTACTACTACTACTACTACTACTACTACTACTACTACTACTACTACTACTACTACTACTACTACTACTACTACTACTACTACTACTACTACTACTACTACTACTACTACTACTACTACTACTACTACTACTACTGCTACTACTACTACTGCTACTACAACAACTACTACTACTACTACTACTACTACTGCTACTACTACTACTACTACTGCTACTACTACTACTACTACTACTACTGCTACTACTACTACTACTGCTACTACTACTACTGTCTACTACTACTACTACTACTACTACTACTACTGCTACTACTACTACTACTACTACTACTACTACTACTACTACTACTACTACTACTACTGCTACTACTACTACTACTACTACTACTACTACTGCTACTACTACTACTACTACTACTACTACTACTACTACTACTACTACTACTACTACTACTACTACTACTACTACTACTACTACTACTACTACTACTACTACTGCTACTACTACTACTGCTACTACTACTACTACTACTACTACTACTACTACTACTGCTACTACTACTACTACTACTACTACTACTACTACTACTACTACTACTACTACTACTACTACTACTACTACTACTACTACTACTACTACTACTACTACTACTACTACTACTACTACTACTACTACTACTGCTACTACTACTACTACTACTACTACTACTACTACTACTACTACTACTACTACTACTACTACTACTACTACTACT